GCCTAGCACAGAGACAAGAGACAAACGGCTAATGCTAGCAGTTAGCTTAGCCTAACACAGAGACAAGAGACAAACACCTAATGCTAGCAGTTAGCAAAATTCTTAGCATTGGCATGTTCATGATCAGTCATCAGTGATTAGTGATCGTAATCTGAAGCGTCGTGTTTCAGCTTCACGGTGAATCATCGTCAGGTTTCTAGATTCTGAGTCGGTGTGGATGTTCTTACAGGGATTGTTGTTGTTCTCATTCTGCTGCTCTCCAGCATCACTGAACATCAGACTGGGACCCTCCAGGGGCTCCACTGGGTCAGCGTCCAGCGACACACCGGTCCCACTGGTCCCACTGGTCTCACTGGTCTCACTGGTGTTACTGGTGAGCCTGGCCGGGGACGTCTCCAAACCATTCACATCTGGATGTTCCTGAGCAGCTGCACACAGCAAGAGGCGACACGTAAGACAACATTTCATTTGATTCATGAGTCCAGCTGATCCTGTTTCACCGTTTGAGTTCTTGTGGTGCGTTCGAGAAGAGTCCGAAAAATCCAAAACCAGATTTACTTCTGGCCTCATTGTCCAGAATCACTAAAACTCCTCCAAAATGATTCAACATTTGTCCAAAATCAGCTAAACTGTAAGAAAGTAGCCGGACTTTGCCCTCAGAGTGTAGCATGGACCTCTGACAGTCCGGCTGCCGTGTGGATGTGTGACGGAACCAAATAGTCCAAAACCGATCAAGTTGTCCAAAATCACAAAGACTTCACCACAATGACTGAAAAGTGTCAGAATGTCAAAAATGTCAAAAATGGCTCAAAAGCTTTTCTAAAATAATTTAGCGTTTGTCCAAAGTTACCCAACATTGTCCAACATACCTCAGCATTGTCAAAATTCCTCCAGACTTCTCCAAAGTCATTCAATATTTGTCTAAAAGTGCTCAGAATCTGTTCACAACAAACCAAAACTAGTTCAAAATGACAAAAACTTTTACAAATGGCTCCAAACTTTCATAAAACGACTCCAAATCCATCATAAATGACTCAGTTTGACTTAAAGCTTCACCAAAATGACAAAAACGTTCACAAAATGTATAAAAACTCGTACAAGTCTTTCCACAATGACTCACAGTGTCCAACATTAGCAGACACTTGTTGA